TAAACACAACTACTGTCTCTTATACCCATCTTGTGTATAAGAGAAAGATCTATATCTGTGGGTGTATATCTACATTAGGTCAACTCACAATAATTTGACAGATGTTTTTATTTTTATTCAGTTGAGGTTTGCATGTAGCTGTTGGCTCTGAAAAGAATAGCTCTTGAGCAAGTTGACAGGATCCACTGGCAGGTTTTACACGACGACAACCTTCAAAAGGCAGAGGAATGCTGGGATTGTATCTTAGAACGGGGCATTCATCAAGCGTGACCAGCTGAATTTTAGAAAGTATTCAATTTTCTTAATGCAAAGTTTAAATATACAGAAATTTTGTGTGCAAGTTTGTTAAGACTGAATCCACTTTTAAGTAGTTGTATCCATGTGCTTCTACATTTATGTGCAAGTTAGATCTTTGAGCACCAAACAAAAAAAAAATTAAAAAACGGAAAAGGACTCCGAAGAACCCATTTACATCAAATAGGTGAATTATTAAACTAGGATGTGAATTATTAAACTAGGATACCTATTTCAACTGAAACTACAACAATTGTTTTACCAAGATATCTGCGTTAGCTTGAAGATGTGGCCATAAAATCGGAGTCAAAGTTTCGACGGTGAAAGGCGTGAAATCCCGTGAATTATTATAAAACAAGACTACGGCTAGTAATGTCTAACAGATATTCTCTGCTTCTAACCTAAATCCGTATTACCTGTTGTTCAGTCCTGGTAGCACTTAAACTTGGTCTTGATACCGTTGCTTTCGATTCCAGTGCTCTCCACATTATCACATTGTGTGCAAAGTAAAGACAACAAATCAAGACAGTAGTGGTTACCAACCTCTTTATAAACTTTGTTCGCACATTGATCATCTTTGCTATTGTCCAATTTCCTAAATTCACTCATACATTTCTGTGTTGAGTAATGACATATACAAATGAAAGAGAACAGGAGACATAAGCATGTAACAGATCAATATTTCGAAAGTTATATCTTTACAGAATTTCCCTCTTCCCAATCAATGGCACTGTGGCATTATAATAAAGCAATGATTAGTTTTTGATATATTTCTATTAAATTAATGCATTTCTTTTGCTAGTATTGATGTCAGCATTCTCTACATACCCAGCTGTACAGTGTATCAATATGTTTTACCTTATTATACCGTAGCCTATTTCATATTTTTTATTTCATCTTCAATGTAATTTTTCTATCCCCCCAAGCTGATAATACTTGCTATATTGTCCTTACGCTGCATTATTGGCCGTCGTTGCCCGCTGTATTGATTGCCTGATCATAAATTTAAATTATTTTGATCGCGTTCAAAAAGATAATTTAATCTTTAGATCTAACCATAACAATACGACATTGGTAGAGATTAGGCCTGGCTAGATGAGATAGCAAAATTGTAGACTTATCAATAGTTTAGGCCCAAAGTTGCGGCGGCACAGGCGGATGGACCGGATTTTATTAAACTCCTATAGAACATACCAATACCGTAATTTGCCAAAACAGATGTTATAATACTGCATAGGAATATTATAGTAACATGCCTACTGCACTTGCATTTTCCTTTCTTTTTTTTTTGTAACTACCGTCCTGGAAACTAACAGACTAAACACAACTAAATAATATAAAACCTTAACACTGGGTATAATGCTTAGAAACAAAGTAACATTCATTCATTTCTCATAATCATAATCAAATTAAATATACAGAGCCTTTTGATAAACTTTTAAATTATAACTCAAGTATTAATGGAACAAAGTCTTCAAGGTTCAACATGAAAGGTTCTCACAAATGGAACTTACCAGTCTTACGAGATGGAGTTCAATCAATTTGGTCTATGGTACAAATTTCAAGCAAACAAAAACAAAACAGATTCACGTAAATCAAAAGAGGTACAAATCCACTTTAATCTTTATTCGAGCAGACTGACAACGACCGGCGCAGTTTCATTGGTCTCTGACTGAAATTATGCAAAATTGAATACTGATGATTCGCGCACTGCTCGGAGTGCTTTGAGAGTCATTGGCATAGAGCGGAGAAAATGACTGTGTGAAACAGAATCAATCAGTTATATTTAAAATGAGCTGTTATTGTTTTTCGAATTCGTGGGAAAATGGTGGCACAACCAGCAGTTGTTGAACTAATTGTTTACTGCCCTCTGCCTATAGCGCATTTGATGAAACGAAAACCGAAATTTCAGTCTTTTTTAAACAGCTCCCTCATGTTTGTCTCAATGTCCTATGTGGAGGGAAAATTTTTAAGTCGTCAAGTGAAAACGTTGTTTCTTCTGCACAAACATTGTCAAAACATTCAATGTCAAATTACCACCAGATTCCTAAAAGAGAAACATTTAAAAAATAGAAATAAAATGTTTTGGGTTAAACACAGGTTGAAAACAATAAAGATTATGGGCCTAATTAATAGTAGTGGTAAAGTACAGTTTTCGAGTTGTAACGTAACCGCTGGCCATTAAGAATAGCACCATACGTTCTATCGTTTTGTGAGACGTTAGCGACAAAGGGCTTAGCGGAGCTGAATGGTTGTCTCATGGAGGAATCAGCTCTCTCAACACAGATCACTTACAGAAATTTGGCAAATGTTCATCTTCAATTGATGTTGGCATGTGGCTGTTGGTTCCGAAAAGAATAACTCTTGCGCAAATTGGCAGGATACGTTGATAGGTTTTAAACGACGTCAACTTTCAGAAGGCGAATGCTTGGATTTGTACCTCAGAATAGGACATTCCGAGTTCAGGACGATTTTCTGAAGTAGAAGCTAATTTTCTTTTATTTGTTGTATTTTTTTTTTTTTTTTAATTTCTTTTATTGTACGTAATGTTTTCAAAATTTCCCAAGGGTGCACGAGTTAGAAAATGCGCACTCTGTTGGTTTTTGCCGGCCTTACATTATCAAGGAAAACAGATAGCACGACTGCCGAAAGTCTTTATTTAAAATGAAAATATGTATAAAAAAAAACAAAAACAAAAAAACAAGTAAACAATGAAGTCTCGACCATGGTTCAAAGTTATCTTTTTCTGAACATTTAGGAACCAATTTAAAGGAGAATCCGGGGCCCACTGGGAGCGCATCTAATGATGGTAGGCCACGTATTGGGCTACAACAGCAAATGGTCACCATTTACCAATTGACCTTGACCTTTCAACCCAAAGTTTATTCACTTAGAACAATATGTATCACTCCACTTCATTGGTTTTTGCGTATCCTGCCGTGGCGGCGGTAATAAATTCTTTAATATCATTAATAAAATCAGCATTTATAAATCTATGGCAGCCATCTTGGAAGATACACACACACACAGCTCTGCGTATTTTGAACATCGAATACATTGCAGTTAGCGCTCTAGTAT